AAAATTTACCTTTTGTCATATAGGCTATGTGGAATCATCAAAACCTTGAAGGACAGGTCAGATTTGCATTTTTGGGAAGGCTGTAGTGTGGCGCAGACTCTGCAGTTTGATTCTCTACCACCATTTGGCCTTCAGCAAGTTTCTTAACTTCTGTGGGCCTCAGTTTCCCCATGTAGAAAATGGTTTGTAACTTGTTTCTCACTTTTTTGGTGGCACTAGAGTTTGAACTCAGAGCCTCACTTTTCCTAGGCAGGTGCCCTTACTGCTTGAGCCACTCTGCCAGCTCCCCTTGTAGAAAATGGGAGTGAGGACAATACTATCACCTACCTTTGAAAGTTGCTATAGGGATGAAATGACTGTACATGCTACGTGCTTACCAGGCCTGGCATATACTAAAGCCATATATTAACTGTTAGCTCTTCTTCTGGCATTGAGATGGAGGATGGATTTTCTGTTCATGGACCCAAAACTTTAGCAGGCCAAAAGTCTAATCTTTAACCTTGTGGGTTTTCTCATCGGGAACTTAAAAGAGTAAATGGGGTAGGTGCAGTGGTGTATTCCTGCTATCCCAGCACTTGGGAGGCTGAGAAAGGAAGATTGAGGGTTCAAAGCCAGCCTGGGCCATGTAGAGAGACCTTGTCTCAAAAAACAAAACAAAACAAAATAGATGAAACTAGCCTAGTGTTGGTGACTCGTGCCTGTAATCCTAGCTACTTGGGAGGCTGAGACTGGGAGGATCGAGGTTCAAGGCCAGCCTGTACAAAGGAGTGGCTCAAACAGCAGAGAGCCTGCTCTGTAAGAGCAAAGCCCTGAGTTCAAACTCTAGTCCCACCAAAAAAAAAAAAAAAAGAAAAAAGAAAGAAACTACACAACGGAGAGGATGAAATTTCTCTCTACTTTGTTTATTTTATTTATTTTTTTCTTCTTTTTCTCCCCCTCTGGTTTGGTTTAGCACATGCATTAGTAGGACATTTGTATGCTTTTGTGTAGTATGGCGAATATAGGTCTGAGGTTAAGTACAAAAGGGGAACTGTCACGAGGCCAGAGAAAATATAAATTGATGAGATATTGGCAGGGAAACTGTCCTGAGGGAGAGTCCCTTTCCCTGCTATTCCACCTGTGAAGGTTCTAGAGAAGAGAGCCTCCCTGAGGAGAAATAAGTAAGAAAGAAATAAGTAGTCACAATGGCAGGAGAGAGGTAGTTTGGTGGGCTGGAGTGTGATCACTTCTCAGGCACTATTTATTTCTTATTTAAATGTCTTGAAATGTTGACGTCAGAAACATACAGAAGTGTATACAGAGGGTCTATAGTTAGATGATAATACATTATAATACTTATTTGGTGCTTTCTGTTAGTCACACACTGTTCTAAGCACTTTGTATTACCTTGCTTAACCTCACTTTGATATAGTAACTGTTGTCATCCTCATTTTACAGGTGGACAAACTGGGTTTAAAGTGGCTTAGTGGCTTGCCTGGCTCACACAGTCTAGTAGTAACAGAGCTGGGATTTGAATGCAGGCAGTCTTGTTCCAGAGGCATGTTCTGGAATGAGAAGGGGAATGTGGACCTGTGGACCAGGGCAGCTGAGGTGTCCTGTGGTGGGTGAATAGGAGTGGCTGGTTGGCAAGGCTGGACTCAACTCCTGGGTGATTGACAGGGCTGGACTCAACTCCTGGGTGATTGACAGGGCTGGACTCAACTCCTGGGGCAATATACCCGCACAGTAGACTTTTGGGCATTGGCCCAAGTGGGCTACTGTAGACAGGAAGTCTTAACATCATGTGGACCTTGAGGTGAAGGTGCCTGTATTTGTAACAGAAGAGAAGTCCAGAGTAAGTTAGGTAATGAGGAGGAGAATATACCTGTAGCCAATGTGTTTGTTATATATGTGCTGTAATTCGTGAATGTGTTTTAGATCTGAAGATCTCAGAGGACTTAAAAAAGAACTTAGCCAAAGTCAGAAGTGATAGAGGAATAACCATAAAATTCATTCATTGTGATGGATGTGTGTGTTTCAGAAGCTAGTTTCTTGTTTAATTAGATGCTGCTCATTACTTGGGTGGTGTCGCAGGTTGGGTTCTTGGGAAGCTGACTCTGATATATCAATTATCACATAAGACATTTATTACGGAGTGCTCTTAGGATCCACACCTGTGGGAAGGAGGGGACGAGAGCAAGATTGGGCAGAGGGAGAGTCTGAGTTATACTGTAGTCACATGAGGCCTCAGCCTACCCCACAGGGAACTTCAGAGCTGAAATGGCCTTTCAGATCTGCCCCAGGTTGGGGAGTTGGGAGATAGAGTTTTACACTTTGCCTTTTCTGTGTTGATCAACTCTTGGGCCCTGGTTGCACCTGGTAGAAGGCAGGTGCTGGGGCAAGACAGCATTCTGGCTGTCCTCAAAGAGGGCAGATAGACTAAATCTTCCTTTGGGAGCACCCTTAGCAGCTGGGGCAATAAGTCCCTCATTGCAAAGGGAGATCTGATTCAAGCATCACAGTACATACCTCTAGATGCCAATTGCAAAACTGAAAATTGAAGACTCTTTGAAAACAAGGTTCCATTATTGAAGCAGGGAAGGTTGACTTGGGCAAAAAAAAAAAAAAAAAATTAAATTTTTTTTTTTTTTTTTTTTTTTTTTAGTGGGACTGGGGTTTGAATGCAGGGTTTAGTACTTGCAAAGCAAAGAGGTGTTCTATCACTTGAACCACACCTCCAGTCCATTTTGTTCTGGTTATTTTGGAGATTAGGGTAGGGTAGGGGTCTCATGAATTACTTGCTAGGGCTGGCTTTGAACCTCGATCCTCCCAATCTTGGCCTTCCAAAAGTAGCTAGGATTATAGGCGTGAACCACTGGGGCTCGGCTATCCAGCTATTATCAGCTTTCTTCATGAAAGTTGAGTAGGAGACTCACATCCTCGGGAAGGGTTTCCAATTTAATAAAGGGTATTTGGTTTAATGTCCACATCTGTTATTACATTTGAGTGTAAATTTGACATTAAAATGTAATGACAAGTTTATAGATACAAAGTAATATTAGAAATAATCTATAGATAAAATGAGCCTAACTTTTATACAGTTTACCTCCATTAAATCAATGGCAGAAATTGGGAGAATTATAGTTCAAGGCCATCTCAGGCAAAAAGTTGTTGAGACCCCATCTCAACCAATAGCTGAGGTGGTAGTGTGCGCCTGTCATTCCAGCTATGTGTGAAGTATAAATAGGAGAATTGCAGTCCAGGCAGGCACTGGGCAAAAAAATAAAAGCAAAATTAAAAATAACTAAAAGCAAAAAGGGGATATGGCTCAAGTCTTAGAGCACCTACCTAGCAAGTATGAGGCACTGAGTTCAAATCCCAGTGCTGCCAATAAATAAATAACAAAATAGGGGGACTGGTGTGGCATGGTGGCATATGCATTTGGGAGGCTGAAGCAAGAGAATTGAAAGTTTGAGGCCAACCTGGGGTACATTGTGAGACCCTGTCTCAAAAAAAAAAAAAAGAAAGAAAAAAGAAAAAAAGAGTATAAGAGAAACCTGCATACTAGTTCAGCTCTACCATTTCCTTGGGCCAATCAACTTCTTAACATTTGAGATTAATTTTCTTTTTTATAAAATGAGAGGAAAATATATATCTGTACTAATTCACAGTGTTGTTATGTGAGATTTAAGTGAGTGTGTGTGTGTGTGTGTGTGTGTGTGTGTGTGTGTATGTGTATCAACAGAAATGCCAAGGGGGCTTGAGAGAAAAACTAAAGGACTTTTGGTGACCATATAGATCAAACCGCCTCACATTTCTGATGAGAAAAGGAAGTGTTAGGGACCAGAGACTATATTCAGTTACGTGAATGCTTAAATAAAGGAAAATGTATTTGAATTTAACAGATATGCTTGTATTGCACATCTTTATACATTTATCTAAGAAGACAGGGCTCTGACATAAAGCTATAAATAAAGCATACTTCATTAATTTGAGCTTTGAAAACATGAATGGGGGTAATTGTGTAAGTACAGGTTTATAGCCCTATCTTGTGATCTCAGAATCCTTTATGAGCTTTAACTTGGCAAGTTTGGGCCTGTCCTGTGCAGGTGTTTTTACCATCCTGTTATCCACTGTTGTGTCCCTCCCTACTTCCTCAACTCCTTATTTATTTAGCCTCTGGTATCTCATTCCTCTACCCCATCCCACACCCACCTTTTCTTCCTCTATTTGGAAGGGAAGAGATTCTTGTGTGTGTGTGTGTGTGTGTGTGTGTGTGTGTGTGTGTGTGTGTGTGTGTAGATTCCTTTTTTGTTATAAATTTTTTTTAGGATATATTCACTATGGGGTGGGATTCGTAGTGACAATTCCGATTAGACTTATATTTACAGTTTCTGCATGGTCTCTTCCCAAGAGATTGTGATGAGGTGATCTGAGCCCCATCTCAGAACCAGCTCTGTGATCTTAGGCACATTTCTTTATTCTCAGTTCCTTGTGTAAAATTAGGATAATAATACCTGGCCTGGTGATATGTCATGCTTATTTCAAGGATCAAATGATGTAATGTATCTGAAAACACTTTAAAAAGCACCAAATGTTCTATAAATGTCAAGTATTATTATTATCCTCATTACTGGGTCCTCCTTTTCCCTCCCCACCTTGCCTCCAACTTGTTGGAAACCTTCCAGGATTGGCTTGACAAGTGGCTGCAATCTTTGGTTGAGAAGCTTTCTCTGAACCATGACATGTCTTTCTGGAAGCTGCCCTTGGACTAGTAGAAATTTAATTAGATTTTGGGAGCCATAGAGGAAACCATTTAAAATGGAAGAAATGTTTTGTTTCCATGATAGAAGTGTATTGGCCTGTCTTTGTAACAAAACACATTGAAGATGTTTAAGATAGTGGCCAGAGGGTGTGAGAACCAAGCTGGGAGGAGCCTGAATCTCCTTACATCTTAGGATCACAGACCATCTGCTGGGTCTGTACCCTATTCTGATTGAGCCTTCTTTTCTTCTCCTCAGGCCCTCTGGTGCTGGGCAAGGGTACAGTGTACACTTCTGAATCTGTTGTCCGAGTTGCTGAGAATAAATGTGAGTGGGGTGGGGCTCTGGAGAGTGGGGAGGGTGGGGCAGGGTAGGTGTGAGGGGGAGAAGGTACCAGACCTCTAGGGGCAGGGAGCATGGAGAGCCCAGTGGTTTGGGGCTGGTTCCCACCTTCTCTGTTTTTTGAGGCTTCTTCCTTCCTGACACTGTGGTCCTGTCTGCAGCGATCAAATTGTCCTGCTCCTACTCTGGGTTCTCCTCTCCCCGTGTGGAATGGAAGTTTGTCCACGGTGACACCACCAGCCTGGTTTGCTATAACAACAAGATCACGGGTGAGTTGCGCCACCTTCTTTCTGATTGCTGAGGTTGTGAAGCAGTTGACTCAACCTGGATTCCAGGGCAGGGGCACACCCTTGCAGCTCAGCCCTCCGTAGCCTCCCCAGTTTCCTTTCTGGAGGAAGAAGAGGGCACCCCCTACCTTGAGCACCATTTTCATCAGTTTCGCTTAGCTCTCCAGTTCATCCCATCTCTGCCTCTGCTTCCTTCGCTTGGTAGCTTCCTATGAGAACCGAGTTACCTTCTCTCCAAGTGGCATCACCTTCGATTCTGTGACCCGGAAAGACACTGGGATGTATACTTGTATGGTCTCTGAAGAAGGTGGCAACAACTATGGGGAGGTCACCATCCAGCTCATCGTACTTGGTATGTACCACATGACTTCTGCGTGGGCCTCAAACTAGTTGCTTCCCTAAACCCATAGCAGACTGCCTAGCTTTAGAACTCCTTGATGGTAAAAATGCCCGTCAGGAGGGATATTTGGAGTCACTGCCACCAGAGAGGAGATGAGCCTTTGCTTAGGTGGAAATTAAGGGAATAACGGTGGGCGCTTAGAGTTTATTGGATTGGGTAGTCTGTTACCTACTTTCATAGAACCATCCTTGTCTGTGTGTTCAGTGTCTTCCTTCCATCTCTCCCTCCCTAGTGCCTCCATCTATGCCTACAGTCAACATCCCCTCCTCTGTCACCATTGGGAGCCGGGCAGTGCTGACCTGCTCAGAAGAAGATGGTTCCCCACCCTCTGAATACTACTGGTACAAAGATGGTGTACTGATGCCTACAGATCCCAAGAGCAGCCGTGCCTTCAGTAATTCTTCCTATACCCTGGATTCCAAGTCAGGGGAACTGGTATGGATGGGGTAGGGGTGAATGATTGAGGGGGGACACAGTTCTGGAATGGTAGGGAGGAAGAACAAACAGCAAAGTGAACTTAGAGTTAGGGTCAGGAGATATAAAAGGTAGGTACTTCGGTTTTTCTAGCAAGAAACCAATTTTTTTCTTCCTTCCAGGTCTTTGATTCTGTGACAGCCTCTGATACTGGAGAATACAGTTGTCAGGCAATGAATGGGTTTGGGTTACCCATGACATCAGCTGCTGTGCGCATGGAAGCTGGTAAGTAAGAATATGCAGGCACTTGAGCTCAGGGCTGGGTTGGGGATGGGAGTCTGCTTTTTATCTGGCCATTGGCTATTCTGTCAGTTCTACAATTGTGCAATTGTGCCTGACCTCTGGTTTGTGTCTCACAGTGGAACTGAATGTGGGGGGCATCGTGGCAGCTGTCATCGTAGCACTGCTTCTCCTTGGAGTCTTGATTTTTGGCATCTGGTTTGCCTATAGCCGAGGCTACTTTTACAGTAAGTATTTGCCCTCGGAGGTTCTCCTTTGTATTGTCCCCAGGGAGCATGGCTTGTGGGTGCCGTCTGAGTGAGGAGCCGTCTGTGCTCTGGGTGCTGGCATTCTTACTGGGGAGCACAGATCACTTGATCTAATTTATATCAAGTGCTACACACTAGTTCCCCCGCCTTCCAATGCCATGCCATGTTCTATCCTGCTGAAACTCATGGTTTTCTTGTTTCTCTTTTTCAGGAGCAAAGAAAGGGTGAGTGAGGTGCTGTCCTGAGGTTCTCCAAGGATCAGAACGTGAACATGTGTGGTTTGAAGCTGAGATGTGCCTTAGAAGTGGGGAGGAGGGTTGGGGGTAATGTCAGCCATCTTGGAGGGAGGACAACTGGATTTCTATTCACTCCTGTTCACCTGGGCTTGTCCTATCTCCCTCTGCCCACACCTCTCTACCTCAACTCTATGTGACTGCATAACATGGTGAGGAGAGGTTAATGAACACTTTTGGGGACTGAGTGTCTCCAACTTCTGGCTTGTCCACAGGACCTCGACAGCTAAGAAGGTGATTTATAGCCAACCTATTACTCGAAGTGAGGTGAGTATGCCGGCCCTAGAGTGGGGAGGTCTCTCAGCTAAAGTGAAGGGATTTATATTTGGGTCTTCATTAGCTAAAGAAGACTGTGGTGTTGACTGTGTATTTTATTTCCCCAGGGGGAGTTCAAACAGACCTCATCATTCCTGGTGTGACCTGGTCCAGCTCATCTCTGTGCTTGCCCTACTCAGGTGCTACCAGACTCCGGCCCCTGATGTTTGTAGTTTCACCGGATACCTTAATTGTCTTTTAGACCCCACAGGACCCCTCCACTTTTATCTTAGTTAGGATGTGATTTTAATAGCATCAGCAATGTGCACCTCCCTCTTTCCTTCCCTCCCTTCCTTGCCTACCACTACTGAGTGGCCTGAGACTTGTTTAAAATTTTCATTTCCCATTTCTACAAGAGATCAGGCAGGAGTCCTGTATGCCTGATGACTTCCCTTCTAGGTAGACAGCAAGAGTGGTAGGGCTCCCAGGAATCCGAAACCACTGCCTGGCCTATAGTGGCCTTTGAATAAGGATCTTGAGCCTGATAACTGGGCTTTCTCTTCCTGGAATGAGGACTGTTGCCGGCTGTTCTGGAGTGGGGACTGGAGAGAGGAGCTGCTAAAGTGTTTGATGGCGACATTGTCTCTTCCATGTCCCCAAGAAAAGTGCCACTGGGATCCTCCTGGTCTGTCTTCCTCCTGAATGCAAGCAGACTGCATAAGAAAGTGGGAAAGCTTTCAGGAAATGTGGAGAAAAAAGATTTAAAACCACTGATGAAAAGAAAGCTGGAACTGGTAGCCATCACCTTCCTTTAGCTGGAACAACTGGACAGACCGTCTTCAGATGTCTGTAGGGCTGTGGGATGCCTGTATTAGACTTGGCTCTTTGCTGAGCTGTGTGTGTGTGTGTGTGTGTGTGTGTGTGTGTGTGTGTGTGTATGTGTATGCTAAGAATTTGGGTGATGTGTTGGAGGGCTTCTTAGCTCTTCGGTGAGGTTGAGTTCCTGTGTGTTTTTATTACCTGAATGTTGCTGGAAATAAAAACTTGATTTGTCAAAGCTTCTTTTTGTGGGGAGTGGAGGAAATGAGGTCTTTGGAGGTTTCCGAACTTCTTTGTACAAACAGGAAAATACCTCAAAGGCCTACTTCCCAGTAACCTGGGGCTGCTCCCTAGGGCCCTGCCCCCCTTGCCTGATTCTTAACTCAAGGCAGAGCTTCTGGATTTCACATCCTTGTTGCAGCACCTCCTGGGGTACCCAGTGTGAAGCTGGTGCTGTGCTTGGGGTTTACTTGGCTCGTTCCACCAAGTGAAAGGAGAAAGTGCCCACCCCCCTGCCTGATGGGGTGCATTGCCCAGACTTTCTAAGGCTAGGAGAAACTGATGCCAAGGGGGATATCTCAGATCATTTGAAGAACTATTTTAAGAGTAGTTTAAAGTAGTAACTATTTATTCAGTTCAGGAGAAGATGTTTTGAGAGTGGAGCAGGAATAAGCAAGATAGGCCTGTCAATGCTTTTTTTCTCCCCATTTGGATCCTGGGCCCTTAATTTTGTTTCCTATTTACCACATTCCCCCAATCTATCTTTTATTTTGAGGCAGGGTCTTGTCATTGTGTAGCTCAGGTTGGCCTTAAACTCATGATTCTCCTGCCTCAGCCTCCCTAGTACTGGAATTACAGACATGTGCTACCACACTCAGTCCCAATCTGTTAATTAGTAAGAGGGCAAATAAAGGATTTGATTTTGCTTTTTTGCTTATTTCTTTCTTTGGAATATACTAAATGCCACTTTGCCATATTCTGTATTTTTATCTAGAAACCCCTAACTGAATTGATTTTTCTTTTTCTTTCTTTTTTTTTTTTAATTATATTATTGTTATAGTTTCCTTTTCTATCAAGAATCCCATGGGCTGGTGGAGTGGCTCAAGTGGTAGAGTGCCTACAGGTGGGAGGCCCTGAGTTCAATCCCCAGAAACACACACACACACACACACACACACACACACACTCAGAGTCCCAAAGGCCAGGTGCTGGTGACTCATGCCTGTAATCCTAGCTATTCAGGAGGCAGAGATCAGGAGGATCATGGTTCAAAGCCACCCCCAGCAAATAGCCAAACCCTATCTCAAAAAAACCCATCACAAAAAAGGGCTGGTGGAATGGCTCAAGATGTAGGCCCTGAGTTCAAGCCCCAATAAATAAATAAACAAACAAATAAATAATAAATATCCCAAAAGGAAGGGGAAAAAAGTGAAACTAGAGGAAATAAACTCTACTAAGATAATAAAAGAGAAGATTATGAAATAGTTCAGTAAGGATGACATTTTTAAAGTTGTTTCAGTTCTGTGTCATGGAGGACAGGGTGGGAGAGAGATGGATTAAAGGCCACAAGAATGGGTGATTCATGACTCTTGTGTGTTTGAGTTGAGTAGCTCCTCACTTGTGATGAGTATGAGTCAGTTAACAGCCTTGAAGTTGGGAAATACGGTGTCAGCTTTCATTTTAGGATATCAAAATTGATCCTTGTAATAAATGTTTATTTTTCACATTGAGTTTACTTAGATCCTGAAATTCTGCATATCCTTCCAGATATCCGTACAACTTTTTGTGTGTATTTTTTGAGGTAGGGTTGTGGTATATAGCTCAAGCTAGCTTCAAACTCCAGAATTCCTGCCTCAGCCTCCCAAGTGCTGGGATTATAGGAACGTGCCACTGTGAGCAGCTTTAATAGCTACCTTTTCTTTTTTTAGTGGTACTGGGTTTTGAAGTCAAGGCCTCGTACTTGCTAGGTAGGTACTTTTAACACTTGAGCTACACCTGCAGCCCTTGATAGCAGAACAGCACTGCCTGGTAAGTATGAGGCCCTGGGTTGAAACCCCAGTACTGAAGCATGTGTTCTGCCTTACAGGCCCAGAACCTGATTTGACCCATATCTGTTTCTTAATTGAATCTCCAGATTATCGCCAGGGGAAGGGATAATGGAAGAAAACGGACTTACTCTGAATGAAGGGACAGTATGTTCCATGGAGCATGGGGACAAAGTGGACAAATACAAATGAAGGAAAAAGCACAATTTACATCTTTTTTAAAAAGTTCCTCATTTCCCCATCGTAGCACTGTGAAAATTGATGTGAAATGGAGCTGGTTTTCTTATTAGACACTATTACCCTACCTCAGAGATAAGGAAAAGAGGCACAGAGATGCTAAGGAACGTTCCTGCCACCAGTAGGCAAGTGGTAGATCTGGGATTAAGAGAGCTGGGGAGGAGAGGTTGGATACCCTGTGTCCTGCTCACTGTCCCTGAGTGGAAAGGAGTGCAGGAAGAGAAGGAGCTGGGAACAGACTAAGCTTTTTCTAAGTTGGGTAAAAAGGGAGGTTGAGGGTTTAGAGGCCATTAAAAGTAATTTCCACTGGGCGCCAATGGTTGTGTCTGTAATTCCAGCAATTTGGTTTGGGAAGCAGAGATCCGGAGGACTGAGGTTCAAGGCCAGCCCAGACAATATCTCAAAAATGTCCAACTCAAAAAAGGATGAAGACAGTGTCATTTTAGCAAGTGTGAGGTCCTGAGTTCAAACCCCAGTACCACCCCCTCCAAAAAAAGTAATGTCTGCCTAGCATTTCCTTGGAAGTGACTAAATCTCACATGAGTCTGCCATCCTAGAAGGATCTATAAGCCAGATTACTAAATGTGAGGCTTTTGATAAAATGGAAGCCCAGGATGAAGGTGTAGCTAAGCAGCAGAGTCCTCTTAGGGCTCCCAGCACCACAAAAGAAGGAGAAATTGGAGGACCTATGAGTGCCATCTTCTGGAATAAAGAAGATATGTCAGTGCATTTTGGCCAGATGAAAATCAGAAGGCCTATATATGGGTGGCAAGGAGTTAGGAAGACTGACAATATCAGCTTGCAGAACAAGGATTCAAAAAGATCCCAGTAAGCAGGAATGACTCCATAGTATTGAATCTAAGATTCTGCCTTTGGGTTAAAAAACTCAAATCTGGTAGAAAGTAGGAGAGATGCAGACTATTCAGATAGACAATGCTGATAGCATTATATCCTGCATGGCTCTCATAGATGTCAATTGTTAAGAGGATTATAGACAAATTCAGAGGATGTCCACCAGGTGTGGTAGCTCAAGCCTGTAATCCTAGCTACTCCAAAGATTGGGAGGATCGAGGTGTGAGGTCAGGCAGGCAAAAAGTTATCAAAAGACCACCATCTCAACCAAGGGCTGCGCAGGGTGGCAAGCGCCTCCACAAGACCCTGAGTTCAACTTCAATACTGCCAAAAAAAAAAAAAATACACAAATCCAAAGGAAGTGATTTTGGTGGTGAAGGGACCTAAAGCTGCAAAATAGAAACTTGGAGAAGTCTAGAGAATTGATTGAGGCAAGACAAAGTCTAGATATTTGAAGGTATTGGATGGAGGGCCTTAGGAAGAAAAATTAGGGTCAATGGGGTGAAGAGAGTGATAATTCAGGTTTGAGGAGGGGAGAGTTCCAGTTTTGGGCTCTAGTTCCAGACCTCTATGATCTTAGCAAAGTTTTATCTCTCAGTCTCAGTTGTCTTATTTAGAAATAGTGATTGGGCTGGTGGAGTGGCTCAAGTGATAGAGCACCTGCCTAGCAAGCATGAGGCCCTGAATTCAGACCCCCGTACTGCCAAAAAATAAAAACGATAACACCTATGTAGTTTTGAGATGTAAATTAGGCAAGATCTGTAAATCACTGCAGTGCCTTGTATAGAGCTGTCTGGACTTTCCAGGCCAGGAGGTGACTTTCTGTAATGGGCCAAAGGAGCCATGTGGAGTAGCTCAAGTGGTAGAGCACCTGCCTGGCAACTGCAAGGCCCTGGGTTCAAATCCCAGTACCACACAAAAAAAGGGGGAAAAAAGACAAATTTTCAACTGGGCTGTACAAAAGTAGGTAATGGGTCGGCAAAAGGTGATTTAGCCATAATTGGTTTTCCCCCTTTTGAGGGGGAAGTACTGAGATTTGAACTCAGGACCTTGCTGAAAGCATGGTTCAAGCTTGCCTAGCAAGCAGGAGGCTATGAGCTCAAACATCAGTACTGAAAAAAAATATGCAGCTAACTCAGCTGCTTTTGCAGTCTGCTAATGCAGACTTTTAAGATTCCTTTGGAGGGTGGGAGATGTAGCTTAGTGGTAGAGAGCTTGCCTCCCAGGTAGGTGCAAGGCCCTGGGTTCAATCTCCAGCACTCTAAAGAAAACAACAAAAAACTTTCCTTTGGTCCAGGTCTGTAACATCCCTGGGGAGAAAGGAAGACACAGTGGGTGGAAGCAGCCAGAAAAGAATAGGTTTAACTATGAGAGCTGGCTGGAAAGGAGTGAATAGGTTTAACTATGAGAGCTGGCTGGAAAGGAAGCAATGGGAAGTGTTGTCAGAGGGTGGTGTAACCGCTGGGGAGACTGATACTGTTAGTGCACTTAAATTCAGTTTCTCTTTCTAGTTAATTCTTGGAGCAAATGATGTGGAAATAACCATGCAATAACTCTTTCCTTCTTTCCTGTATTTGGGCTTGTATTCAGGGCCTCAATGCTTGCTAACCAGGCTCACTACCACTTGAGCTACTCTACCAGCTCAGTAAATGGTGAATAAGTAAATATCTAGTCTCAAACTCTGAATGGGACAAAAATAAAAAGTATACACATGCATCTCTTTTGTCACTTCTCTTTTAGATATTAAGTGAGTTATAGTATTTAATAGTTCTTTGACTTTTCTTCAATGAGTAATAATGTGGTCTTGGAATTCAGAGTGCCTGGTTTGGTAGTTTTTTTTCTTTTTTTGGCACTGGGGTTTGAACTCAAGGCCTTACACTTGCGAGGCAGGCGCTTTTACCACCTGAGCCACTTCACCAGCCCTTGGTAATTCTTTGACCAAAGAGAATGCTCACAAAAGTTATAAGAAGACAGGGCTTACATCTGTAATCTCAGCTACTTGGGAGGTAGAGATCAGGAGGATCTTGGTTTGTAGCCAGCCTAGGGACAAAAAATGTTAGCAAGTCCTCACCTCATCCAACAAGCTGGGCACGATGACTTGAGCTTTTGATCCCAGCTACTTGGCAGCCATAAGTAGGAGGATTGAGGTCTGAGGCCAGTCCTGGGCAAAAATGTGAGACCCTATCCAAAAATTAACTAAAATTTAAAAAAAGGCTGTAGTGTGACTTAAGTGGAGGAGCCCG